CAAAAGTCACTAATTGGGTGACCTGTGTTAATCAGTCATGTAGCAAGCTGTAACATACTTAGGACCCAGTGTTAATGATAAGAAGAACAAATTAGACTCAGTAGCAAAAACCTTGATCCATATATGATCCATGAACAACAAGACCCACTTGCTTTATGGGAATGTTTATGTAGATTGTTAATCAATGCAGGGCTCGACACTAACAGTAGCCCACTAGCCACAGACAAGTAAAAATTCAGTTTTGGCTTGTGGTTTTCAATTTCCACTCGCCAGTTTGGCTAGTAAAGACTGAAATTGTCGCAACATCTAAAAACATCCAAGGTGTCACTAGCCACTTGGCTAGTAAGTTGAAAAGTTAGTGTCGAGCCCTGCAATGGTTTACTTTTTTTCACTATTCATGAAAAGGTTTGTTATGATAATCATAGGAAAGCTTCCATCATTCACCACATGCTAATGGTGGTTATAATGTGAGAAAGCCATAGGGTATCATCATTCATTGTAAATGCTTTTTTTTTTTGAGAGGCAATGATTTTGCAATTGAGTGTATACAACTCCACAAAATATGATCTATTTTGTTATTACAACAATCAGAGCAACCAACAACTGCTCACCATCTTGCTTGACAATTTTTTCAATCTCTTCTTCTTCTTGTGAAGTGGCTTTGCTTCAATGATCATTTCTTCCAGCTCATAAGTGGGATCACAGTTCAAGTGGTCTTTCTAGGGGATAAAATGAAATGCAAATTAAAAAGAAAAGTTTTTAACTCCTACTAACACTGATTTATAAACAATGTGTGGAAAGGCTTTAGTGAACTTACAGGAGGTACAAAGCTAGGTTGAACATTAACAGCCTCTACAGCTTCCCAATCAACATCTGTCAAAAGGCTTTCCTGTTTCAAGGCCTCTAAACTGTCCAGTCTTTTCTTGGGATCTTGTTGAAGAAGCTGAATAAAAAAATTAAGTTCAGATATCATAATTATGAATGCTAATTTGAAGAAAAAATCCAAATAGGGAATCTCAGTAGCTGACAATCATATGTAGTTCATCCTCATCTTAACTGTTATTAGATGGAAGAAACTCTGATTACTTTAAATATATTTTGACAATGAAAAAGAAATATTGCTTACTCTATGAAGTACATGTATCATGTCTCTTGACCAAGTTGTGGGGTAATTAACAGATTCAGAAGCAAAAATTTGTCTCACTTCTGACAGACTTGTGTTGGCATGAATTTCATATGGTCTCTGTGAACAAAGAATTAATAAATAAAAGGAAATCATCTTATCTTTTCTTTTAGGAATTTAAAATGGTTGGTGCAAACCACCATGGCAATTAAACCACCGCCATTTTCAACATGAACTAGTCACAATAGAATTTTGTAAGAAGGCTTAAGATTTAAGACTTAAACAAGCCCAGTTGTAAAGAGGGCATAAATTAACACTATCCTTTGTCTGAATAGATCACCATCCAGCTGATTAGTGATAACAAAACAGTGGATAGCGCTGGCTTATCTTTGAACAATCAGGGCCTGGGCTGAATTAAAATCTAAAATCCAGTTTACCTTTAGATAAATAGTTTGCTTTTAGATAAATTTTCTGGAGATTTAGGGTAAGTGAAGACAAAATGTCCCTTCCCTTACTTAAAATCAGGGTAAGTGTTATTGCCCTTGGTTTATCAGTAATATTAGATTCTAGGGCCCTTACCTTTGCTCTTAATATTTCATAGATACAAACTCCTAAACTCCACCAGTCAACACCAAAGGAATATCCTTGAGTCTCCTCACTAGCTGTGCTAAATATTTCAGGAGCTGAATTAATAAGATAAATATCAAATTAATATAAGCTCAAAACTAGAGGAAAGCAAAATGAAATATGCACTGAAAATGATGAGAGAGTTTGTGCATTATGTTAACAAGTGAAAAAGTCTTGAAGGAAAAGTATTATCCAGAAATTAGATAATCTTCTATCCCCTTTCTTCTACCCTTGCTGCTCAGCCTATTGCCCACTGTAAACATAGACCTGCTATTATCTTATCTTGTAAGGCTCTGGTTCTATCTATTTTTGCACACATTCCCTTGGTGTTTACTGGCAACTTCACCATGAACACAACAATGAAAGCTTCACCAGTACAGCAAAGCTTACAGACCACTTCATCTCACCACTGTGTAAAGTGTCCAATAAAGTGAGAGAGTAAACTAACAGAAAATAGGTCAAGTCCAACATAGTGTTTAAGTTGGTACCTTAGAAACTTCAAATTTTCCTTAGAAACTGCAAAAAACTGTCTCACTTAGATTCTTCATGCTTACTTTTGCAAATAAATAATTTCAATGTATATGTGCAATCAGTTAACTGCTGTGTTGACCATGACAGAATTTTGCTTTATAATTGTATTAATATAATAACAAGCAAATACCAAATAAAAATAAAGAAAAATATCTGCAAGGGGATTATCAGTTGTTCCAATACCAAATTCTCTAAACTAAAATCAGAACGATTGTATGACAGTGAGGAGAAGTACCAATGAAATCTTGAAAGGACTTCCTGTAATGGTTTGGCATGTGAGGCCAGATTATCCATTTGTTTCCAAAATGGTAGTAAGTATAGTCAAATTTTTAGCCAATCTGGAGCAGGGTGACTTTAAGGAATCTCAAATTTTGATTGGAAGTTAAATTTTTATACAGTTCGTAAAGGCAGAGATAAGAATCTACATTTTGTATTGCATATTTCTCCTTCAGATAAACATTAACATTTGGGCAAGTGGTCACCTGGCATACAAAATTGTTAAAGTACATGCATACAAATTTTGTATGGTAATTCAAAATTTTCGAGTGACTTAGCACACGATTTAGTCATTCAGTAGCTTTAGCTATAAACTTTATAGCAAAACTTTCAAAAATTTCATTTAACAACTCCGATTATTAGAAGAAATTTATTACGAACCCATGTATGGTTTGGTTCCCGACATGGACGTTGCCAATTTTCCATCTTCCAGAATTGTCGCTATATTAAAATCTGTCAAATGGACATGTCCTAAGGGAAAACAATACACCAAGTTTAATCACTATTCGTTGTCCTGAGCAACACGGCAAGTAGAGAGTACCTAACTCTCGTGATCTCTGCGATCTCACCGACAACTTCTCATGGATAGGTTACATTCGCAATCAGACGAGTAATTTGTTTACAACTAACAACGCTCTGCTGGACATAACCAAACGACATCACGCATAGATTAAAAGAAGAACGCTTTTAGGCTCACAAAAAAGTTTAGCACAATAGAAATAACCATTAGTGCAATCAAAGCACAAAATTAAAAAATTCTTATATCGAGCACAAACCTTTCTCGTCGAGTAGTAAATTGTCTGGTTTTAGATCCCTAAACAAAAAAAAGTATTATTCGTCATTTTCCGGCTTCGAGAAAAGGTTAAAATTGAATGGCTAACATCAAACCCAGAGTACGAAATAATTCGTTCGTTACCTGTGAATAACTTTTTTGCTTCTCAAGTACCCCAAGGCCAGACCAAGTTCGCATAGATATAGCTTAACTCTAGGCTCGTCGAATTTCGTTACTTGTTGCAAGTGGTAACGAATGTCTCCTCCAAGTAGAAGGTCTACCACCATAAACATATCTTCTTCATCTTGAAAAGCGAACCAAAGATTCACAAGGAATGGGTGCTCGAGAAACTTGAGAATTTCCAACTCGCGCAGCACATTGCGGACAGCATCCTTCTTTATGCAAGCATACTTGTTCATGTATTTCATTGCATACATGGCCTTTGTGTCCTTCTTCTGGACGATGCAGACCTTCACAGGTGGAAAAGAAGCAAATTAACACAAATCGATTAAAACCTTATGTACACGTTCACTAAAAACACACGGATAAAAAGTGAAATTCATGCCGCGACAGTTCACCTTTCCAAAAGCACCTCGTCCAATTGCTCGCAGGATCTGAAAATGGTCGAAATCGACTGTAACAAAAGCATAGAAATTTCTTAGAAAAGTTATCTCACTTCCAAAAGAATAGAAGTCATTACAACTGAGAATTACCATCGCCGCTCGCATCGTAGGAAGGTTTTCGATTTGATTGAATGGCGCCCATTAAAGAGCTTTGTGTACAGCCTATGTTGGGTAGTACTTATGGCGACCCGCTTCAGCCCGAATGCCGAAGGCGGGCAGCTTCATGCAAAACTAAGCTGCTAGAGAAAATTTCAGTTTAAAATAATTAATTTCCGTAACCTAAAAGGCTTCTAGCCTTTTAAAGGTTCACCACTGGAACAAGGTCGAGGGTCGCGGCTTTTCAATCCGCGGCATTGCTGAGAAACCAAGCGTGACGTAATGTAAACACTGCTGTTTATTGGTGGATAAAATTTATATTTGAGAAGGTTTGGAAACTATTATATTCAATTTTATCGCGAGCAGACCACAAGGAATGGTCATCTTTCATAGTATTTCATTACAAGATAATGCTTTCCTGTTACTCAAACCCAATTTTGACTGATAATGTACCGTATATTGAGAATGGATGACGTCCCGTAAGTCCTGCCGTTAATCCCGGAAACATCGACGGCATTCCGATTGTTACTGAGTAACCAAAACTTACTGGTCAGCAATTTCTCTAAAGCTCTGGTTCGGTGGGTATAAGTAGACAGAAACAGTAACAAAATGGCGGCTGTTCGGCTTTAACACGTGCAAGTAAACCTGAGTTCCTCCGTTTATCAGCGCTTCATGAATTGTCAGAATTCCACGTGAGTTACTGGAATACGCCATGGTGAAATCAAAGAAAGCCGCTTTAAAGTTAGCGAGAACATCCGGTCGCAAAAAAACCAGAGAAGTCGCAAACAATCCTTTTGAAATACATACAAATAAACGAAAGCATGATATCCTGGGAAGGAAGCTTAAACACGACAAGGGATTACCCGGGATTTCAAGGTCAAAAGCTATAAAGAAGGTAAGTATCACGTAATAAGGAGAATACACAGACAAGAATTCATTTGGAAGGAATTAATCTGGAAATATCTTGGGTGAAAGAAAACTGTTTAGTTAAAAAGTGAACTCATCATTACTTCTGGAAAACCCTCTATTTTGAGACAAGCTGTTGCTAACATGTAGCCTGACTACTTTTCAACATACCTGGTCTGAAGCATCTCCAAAGATTCCTCCTCTTATTCCATAGCTAATCACCTCCACTACTTTCACAAAACGAGCCTACTCAATGTAAAAGATTCTTTACAGAAATCAACAAGTAGACTCCATGTTGCTCTACATCTGTTCAGTTATAGATTACACATGTAAATATTGTACATGCCAACTTTTTCCAAGTCGACTGTGTGAGATTTTTGTCTCCTCATGACTGGAATTTCCGAAAATGTTTGGCAACTTCTAATGATTTACTGAAGACTTCCAAATGCTACAGAACATGTGGGAAGATGGTCCAATGACTTCAAACACGTCCGAAGCAATTTGAAGCTTTTCTGATGGCTTTCGAATGTATCGAAGACGTTTGAAAGCCTTCGTGATTGTTATGAATAGCATAGAAATAATACGTAACAAATAAAATGAAATTTATTTTTGACTAGGGGGGAAAATATTGGATTGAATATTTTTTGATAGTGTGCTAAAGAACAAGTCAACCAGATTTCCAAGTCAGGTGCGAAAATTGCCCTCAATGTGTGTGTGAACGTCATTGATACTATCTCGAAATTCATTCAGGTTGGCCTACATACAACATTGTGGTCCGAACAGTAAAAACATGTGTGTCTTGTCCAAGCCAAGACTGGAAAGGAAAACTTAAACTAAATGCTGCTGTAATCTAGTACGCCAGCATTAACAGTGTGAGATCGACATCTTAGGTCCATGGGTGTGAGACTCGCGTATAATGCACAAGTCTCACACATAATGCATGAGACTCGCACATAATGCATGAGAGTTGGCAGGTATAAAATATGTGTATGATGCACGATCCTCGCAGTAGATAGCGCTATTTATGCAATAGCAAAAATCAGACCTGAAAAAAATCAGGCCTGTACG